TAAGAAAAACACAATTTTATTGAATTTCCCCATTAGCTGTTTTGTCCTGCCCTTACCAGTTTGACCCTTTTTTTTTTTTTTGAACAATTTGATTATTGATTCAAAGGGTTGGGTTTCTCTTTTTTGCCCTTATCAGTTCTGGGTCTAAATTTTTCCTTATTTGAAAAGATGTCTCACAGGTGCTGTCACTTTTTTATAAATCATCATAGTTGGTGTCCTTAAATTACAAATTTTATGAGTTTGTCTCCTCATCATGTACACTAGCTAATTTTTAATCCAACTAGATACAAAAATAGAGAAAATTTTTTGGCCAAAAGAAATAGAAGTACAAAAATATAAAATTTAAATTATGAATTAGAATGATAATTTGTCAATCAAGTTGAAACAGCAAGGTAATTTGTGATTCAGAAAGTTGAAATTACTTGCATAACATGCTAAGAACTTGGTAAATTTTGTATCTGCTTGGCATGAATATACAAGAAGATCAATGCTCTATGTTGGTGCTTGGTAGTAGTGAAATATGTATTATGTTTACCAATTGCTACATGACATGACACAGGAATATAACCACATTCTTATGTATGCCTTGCTTACACACTGCATGGGAAAGAAGTTCTACACATTTTGCTCACTAAAGTTCTTCTTCCAGGGATAGAGTTTGGTCTCAGTTGTTTTGCTCTCAAATTGACCCTGAAGGCTTGAGAGGCAATGTCGCCACCCCTTTCTGCAATCTTTGCTGTTCTGCAAACTGATGGATAGCATCCTGGACTCCTGCAAATGCCACCAAGAACTCAGGCACATCAGTTTGGTTCAGAATCTTCTTCACCACCAGCTCCAATGCCTTGTATCTGTCACATTTAAAGAGTAATTGAAGTCTCAGTAATTGAAATCTAATGTTAATATCATGGGTAGATTTTCAGATATATAATCATACGGAAAGATGGCCCAAACAAAATCAAATGGAAAGAAAGTGTACCGGAGCTGTTGAGCCTTAATGATGACCCGTTTGATCTTATTGAACTCAGCCTGAATACTACGTAGGGCAGCACCGCCTGATCTATTGCAGTTCAATGGAGAAAAGGGGAGGTGGAGAATACATGTAGCCTGAATCTCAGCCATTTCCTCATCAATCACAGTCTCCTCAATGTGAATTTCATGGATAAGCTGTGCTAGGAGCTGATCCACCCCAGTTGTGTCTGACAAGGATGAGGAGCGAGCCAGTCCACGCAGGAGTTCCAGAATGGCTGAGGGTCGCCAGTCACCAAGCCAGGACATGATAGTCAGCTCTTGAGGAGGCGCCCATTTTGGCATGAGAACTTCTGCCACATCCTTTAGCCGAGTTGGAATCATGGCCTGGTTGTAATGTGCATGGAACCTGTTCAGTTGTTCCTCAATTAGCTCCTCAAGTTCCCACCTTGCTTTAAGCTGTTTCTCAATCCTCGCTGCCCTGCTCTTCTGCTCTTCCCTCCACAGACCATATTTGTCCCATGAAAGCTCTTCACCTGATAAACAGGTACATTGTCATAGAAAGAAGCCAAATCAATTGGCAAACCAAAAGAAAGTTTTATTTGTTCATGTTTTGCATGTAATCAACTTAGTTTCCTGCTGAATGCCAGGAATTCCTCCCTTTTCTTTAGGGTCTGATTCTTCTTCTACTTCACCCATGATATATACCCAAAATATAAAACAATTTTTAAGAACCAAACTAATATTCCCAGGAAAAAACCAGAAGAAATTGATAAGAACTTACTTCTTTTGTTTGTTTCCCTCTTGTAGAATGTCATGCACTGAAGTCTTTCGGCTATCCCATCTTGTCTTCTTACCAATTCATCCACCATTTCTTCGTCTTCTTCCCGTTCTCCATGCTCAATCTCCTGATCACAGTAACTCCTGCAAAATGTTTCCTCTTAGGTTAGCAATAAAGTACAGTAATAACAATAATAATAATAATAATAATAATAATAAAAGACAACTTGGGTACATTTCAATTAATTGGGCATGGCAAAAATTGCTCCTTGTCAATCTTCTCTTCTGTGATTATACTATTATTTTCTCCAGAAACAAGCATACATTGCTTAGTTCAAATCGTTGAAAAATCCTACACAATTACGCAGGGAATGGTTATATTCAGACCAAGATTCATTTCTACTTGTCATTTCCTTTACATTTTCTTGTGTTCTCTAGATTTAGCGTTTCTGCATCAAGAAAGCACAAAATTACAGAACGAACAGCTCAATTCCATTTTCTTTCTTTTTCTTGACAACCAAACAAAAAATATCATTCATTCTCCTTATTTTCCTTCTCAACAAAGAACTGAAAGGAACACTCGATTTCAGGGTTTGGTGTAAGCCCAACAATTTCGATCTCTTCCTGATTTGCTCGGGAAAACTCTAGAGTCCAAACAGCACATTGCACATGTTGAATGATGTTAAAGAACAGAAGAGAAAAGTGCGATGAGACTTACGACGGGGATGAAGACATCATCATCCTCTTCATTCTCACTTTCTTGGATAGAAACTGTTTCTCGGATTTTCCTGGGAAAGTTGAATTTCCCACTCTCTACTTCCGGGTCGCACCGTGAATCTGTTTTCATCCTCTTAATTAATTTGCGCCAAATGAATATGGTGGAATTGTTTTTGTTTTATGAGGCTAAATATCAGTTTTGTCCTCCTATATTTCCTGTTATTTTCTTTCAGTACATACATTTCTCCTCTTCATTTTTATATTAAAAAAGTGTCTTACAATTGCAACGGTAGAATTTTTATCATTAGATGAGGTTTGTTCTCATTTCTTGTAATTTGGTGTGATCCAAAACATAAAACAATAAATTTTTTCTAAATTATGTTAGATTGCAAAATGTGAAACTGCTTCTAAATTATTTTTTGTATGAAAATTTCTAATTAAATGGTAAAAACAGAAGTATATAAGTAGGACTTATTAAAATTATTTAAAAAATTTCAAAAGAATTCATGAAGAAAACATTCTAGTGATTTTAAAATAATTTAATTTAATTATTAAATATATCCATCCATTAATGTTAATAATTGCTTAAAATCACGAAGAGTTAACCTAAATTAATACTTATTAACTTAAAAATTTAGATTTAAAATCATGGTAAAAAGTTCAAATTTTTGTATTATTAAACAACTAACCTTTTAATTTATATAATAATAATAATTAAACAAAAAGGCTCCCCAAACCGAATTAAATCGAAAGAATTCTAGACAAACATCTATGCCCTTCCAGTCGAAGGGGAAACATCTAGGAGAACTTTAAGCAGCTTATCTGTTTAAAAGGAGAATTGAGTTCTTTTTTCCAGCTAAGAACGGTAAGAAGAAGCCACGCAAAAATTTCATCTGACCAAGAGAAAATGACCCAAGAACATATTTACAATTTGGCTTCTATACATGTAGACATCTCTGTTTTGCTGCTTTAACAGCATAGCTACACATGCTACCATTACCTCAATGCATGAGCAGACACTCTCATTACAGGGGGCTGAAGTAGTTTCATCATTACCATGAGCTATTTGTAGGTTTAAATAAACGCACCTAGTGACAGACTTATTATCTATTGGATGCAACAGTAGCAGGAACACCACCTCTAAAGATCCCCAACCAAGAGGAGTTGCCACTACCTTGGTTGTGCTGACGATTCCTATGACCTTTCTTTAGTCTCGCAGCCACGTTTCTTCCAGCACATGTACCAAGCTTTATGGTCACAAATAAACCCAAGGCAATTGCTAGCGGCCTCACAGCCCAGTGAAAATCCTCCAGGTGTTGATATTTTTCCACCATATTAGGGCAGGAATCAAAAGACACCTCTTCAACTTCAGCAGGATCTGCCAAGTATGTGTTAGGTTCATTTCCAAAAACAAGCCTCCCTGGGAACTCAACCAGGAGACACCCATTTGGAAATACTTCAGAAATTCTCCCATTGGCCCATGCTCCTGCTTTCTTATGTGGCCATTCAAACCGAGGAGTAACCACATTTGCCTTCAGCCTCACAAACTGCCCTACATAATAAGCTTTAGCCATTTGAAGCTGAGAAGAGTTCCCTATCCATGTTGTCTCTAATCCTAAAAAGCCAACTGCAACAGTGTTGTCACGCTGTACTGCAAGTAGTATTCCCACAGAAGAATGCTTGTTATTTTTCTCCTTCAAGCACACCCAATCTCCCACTGCTAATCCAGATGTGACCCTCTCTAGTGTTGATTCTTGTACTCTTAGAGGTTTGTGCATTCCAGGGACTTTCACTAGAGCAAAGCCATTTCTTTCACCATCGCCATCTAAACCAGCCACAATTCCTTCAGAGATGTCCATGGTTTGGGGTCTTTGTGCATTTGGTGGCTTTCTTGAACGCACTGTATCACCCACCTTGAGACTATCCTTGGCTAGATACCATGTAGAGTAACCACTGCCATTTGTTTTCTCTCTGAGTGGGTGGCTCTCAAGACCAATCCATCCTCCGTCATTATTAACTGCATTTCGTGAGCTGCAAGTTCAAATGGAACTGGAAGTGATCAAGATGCACCTAAGCAAAGAGGAAAAGGGGGGACAAAGAGGAAAAAAAGAGTAGAAAAGATCTATACTATTTTGTTATTCTATTGACTTCAAGCTGTCCTTGAGTGAATTAATCAAAGCATAGATATCTGCATATTGCTATGCAATGTTAAAGCAGTTTCAGAGTGGTTGAATAAAATATAAACATGAATACATTTTGCCATCAATAATACTTAACCATGAGCAGGCAGAAACTAATCCATTTATCAGATACAGTCCCACATTGACAATGGTTGTCACTTGTCATTACAACTGAAAATATAACTCGTCATGCATCTATCCCACTCACAAGCCGGATACATAACTTGTTAGTGTCATGCATATATTCACAAGCAGGACACAATGGCAAAGACAACAATTTAGCAAACATTTGACTACAACATCACCCAGGGTAGTGAAAGTACAATACATTCAAATTAATCAAAATCTTGAAAAGCTCAAGAAACTCAAGGATACTCATCTATGTTCCAATAAGAAGAAAGAAAAGTAATACAGAAAGCATTAAGGTCAAAAAATGAAGCATAATCTTACAATATCTTCATCCACCAAAAAATTCAAAGACTGGCTCTCCATTAGAGAACTTCAGTTTTAGATGGGAACAAGTTTTATGTGCCTCATTTGTTTCAAAGGCTAACTCTAGTGTTTAGACTAAAGGAATTGAAAGGTTTTAAAAAAGGATTATTTAACATCAGCCCCCTTTAAACAGCAAGATGCAACTGGAGATGTGCCCTTTTCAGTTTCTGTTAAAAATTTTAAATGTACCGAAGGTGCAGACATGGGGAAAAAAAAATCAAAACCTAAAGAACTTATAGGTGAAAAAAAAGAAAAAAAGAAAAAGTAACAATGGACCACGAAGAATTTCATTCCAAAAATACTATTCCTAGATCATATAGAACAAAATAAGTCACTATTTGTCATGAAGGATTCATGTTTTTTTTTTAAATAACTATTTTGTCATGAAGGAATTGCTTGCATAAATACATACAGGGCAACAAAAAGATGTTAGGAAGAAGTACCTTTTAAATTCCTGTAAAATATCTGCAATTAGAGGTCGATTTCTGAAATCATACTCAAAGCAACCACTGATAACATTCTCGACAGCAGGAGGCAGACCACTGGGAATCTGTGGTTTTTCTTTCTTGATCACAACAGAATGATATATTTCTTCGACTGATTTCCCAAACCATGGCTGAATACCAGACAACATCTCCACTATGCAGCATCCAAAACCCCATACATCAGTCTCAAATGACAAAGGACCTCTAACCTCGGGTTCCCACTGTTCTGGGGCCATGTAATTTGGAGTGCCAAGCCTAAGAGCCATACTTGAGTCAGACATAGGAATCCCAAGAAGTAGATATGGAATCCCAAAATCCCCATGAACCAGATGATCGTGTTCATTAAGAAGCAAGTTCGAAGGCTTAAGGTTGAGCACCAACAGCCCCAATGAATGCAAATCAAGAAGCCCTTTAGCTATCTCAACCCCATACCTGCAAAAAATAGCCACTTCTAAGGATTTTCCCTGAACTATTAACAGCAATTTTACACTTCACAAAGAGGAATTGCATCTCAAAGTATCACCTCAAGACATCAGACAATGGAAGCTTGCCTCCTTTCAACCGAGCCATTTGATCACCCAGAGACCCTTCATAAAATTTCATAGCAATGCAGATCTGTTGTAGGAATTTCAAACCAAGAAAATATTGGAATTAGTGCCACTAGGAGAGGAAGTGCTTATTGTATGGATGATTTTGCAAATTGTGAACAAGCCATGCAATATGCAGTTAGTGTACCAAAAGTGCACACAACAAAATTCAATTTGATAGATCACACAAAATGGTTTTGTGCAGCACTTAGCAAGAATCCTTACAATTACATCTAGCATTACATTCTACAATCGAATGATGAGGAATTTTATTCCAATCAAGTGCCTAAGGTCAGAGAAAAAAATAATAATAATAATAACAATTCCTAGTAAGAACTTTTTGGCTTTATCCTAGTAAGATTAGAACCAAGAAATTGAAAGATTAATATGTCAGTCACCTTTCCATTTATAACAGAGATACCATGCAACCAACATACACCTAGAAGTTCTCGGCACTTCAAAAACAACCCTTCAAAGTTATGTACAAACTTTTGCATGTGCTCCTCCTTCAGTGTATGCAACATCTTAACAGCAACTTCATGATACTCTTCAAAATCATCAGCTGACTGATGATGAGTAGCCAGCCAAACGTCACCAAAGGGGCCTCGGCCAATCCTATGCTTAAGTTTCAATGAGTCAGGGTTTATCCATGGCCTAGTCTGAGTTGGTGTGGCAACAACTGTTCTAAGTTGGTCGGGATCTCCTTCGAAAAGCTCAAAATCAAAGGATTCTGTTGGCTTGAGTACTTTAATCTGTTGAGCCATCTCCCCTATTCATCAAGAATCAATTATATTTTTTAATATGAGAGTAAAATTATATTCAAAAGCCACAAAAACAAAAAAAAAAAAGTGAAAAAAATTCTAGCTTCATCAACTCTGCTTAGACTGACATAGTTGTTACATTACCAACTCACAAGAGGCCTCATATACATCACTCCATTAGAATATCATTCGAATTTCACTAATGCTTTTATAATCTACATAAAGAAGCTTTGATTGGAAAGTAAATTCAGTTTTTGAGGAGACAATATATGATTACATTATATGATTCATAAATGAATTTCAAAATAACTATATGTGATGTATTTTCGCAGCTCACACTATTTTTTTTTTTTCATTATTTTCAAACATTGAAATTCATTTGCAATTAAATTCCCTGAAGAACAAACAAGTAAAGGAATGGGAAAAAAAAAAAAAAAAATCATTCCCAGCAATGCCTAAGGGCTAAGGCAATTAGAAATTGATTACTTGAACCACTTTGCTAACAAAGGGTTCAAATACAAACCCATTTCTGACTCTTCAACTGTTCAAAATCGAACCTTAATTCAATAAATCAACACAACTTTATATGCTTAATTCGTAACAAGGGGGAAAAAATTCTCACAATTCCCTTCTTCAAACATACGAAAATCCACCCAATAAAACCACTCACAGACCATTCTATTCAACGACGCATACACACAGCAGAGAACTGATTTTGAAAATCGCCCATATTTATGGAAGGAAGGCTACTTGATGATAGCCATGCCCTCGAAATGAAAAATCAAACCTTTTAAAGTAAATATCTAAGAAAAGTTTCTTCTTTTACGCAATTTTCCAGGGAAACAAACAGAGGGAACAAAAAAAAAAAAAAATTCATCTTACCGACGTGAAGATTTGTCGTGGAATTGGAATTCGGAAGCTCCAGGAAAACCTCAAAAGTTGAAGCAACAAAGACAGATACTGGTTCGGATCTGGTTTCTGTAGAAGAAGATGCAGCTAGTGTAGTTAGAACGGAATACTCGGTGCTTGCCACGTCACCGAGATTCAAGGAACAAGAACATGTAACGACACGTGTCTATAGCGAAGAGCTGCCGTACCAAGAAACGTGGCTAGAAATTAGAATCTCATGATATTTTATGCATCTTCTTAAAAACAACGGAAGGATTGTCTTTCAATCAAATGAAAAATTCACACGCAATCTCAGCCCAAATAAATATTTGACCTTTTCCAATTCAATTTATTTCCCATGTTCTTAGGAATTTAAATGCTTTTTGTAAATAAATTTTATACTTTTATGTGTTACATCAAATAATAAAACTCATTTTTTAAATGAATACCCCCAATAATTTCATTTTAGTTCTATTTTCATTTGATTTCAATTCCAATTTCAGCTTCTATTATAATTTTCAAAAGGAATCAGTTTGTACTAATCTCTAGAGAATGGGAGATGGAAGCAGAGAGTAGAATGTGGCCAGCTCTATTGCTTTTGGTCCATTAAAGAGTAACAATAAAGATTATTAGTTGGCAAAAGTTGAAGTTTCTAACTTAAAGCTTTTAAATTCAAATTTTGAGATTACTTGGAAAGGACAATTTTTGATTCCTATTGTATATAACCCATAATGTACCAAAAGAAAAAAACTACAATGAAGATTATGAGAAACTGGGAAAGAATTTACATTACAACTACTCGGGTACTTGGCCTAAATGATTCCAAGGTCATCTGACATGGAATGTCCATGAACAAAATTTTAGACCAGGTCACAACTGTGACGCATTTTTTGCTAGCTCAACTATAGCTCTACAGTCTATATGTTTATTAAACTTATGGTATCATCTAAGATCTGCCTCCTAAACATTGCAATGCAAACCTTGTAGGGCGATTCCTGCCTTCTGATACCCTTCTTGAATAACCCCAGAAACTAGAGTTTGACAGCCACCCTTTGAAGAGTCGAGTTAACTTGAACTCAGTGATGGGAAGTGCTTCCTCATCTTCGTAATTATGGTACCTTGGTCTATCATCTCTATTTTCATTCACATCATTACAATCCATGCCATTCTGTTCTCTCTCTTGATGAGCATTTGATCCTGACAACTGCCTATACGAAGAGCAATTAGTCCTCTCATAAAGAATCATAGTGTAGAAATATGAATGCAGGTGGGATTAATATGGCGTCTAAAGATGAGAGGACATGAGAGTGTCATCCCACTAGAACTAGAATTCTTACTGCTCAAGATGGACTGTCATTTTTATGGCCAAATTTGGATAGTTGTACATAAAGATAGAATCAACAGCCACATGTCTGCAATGATGGAAACCATGCTAGTTTTCAGCAGATGGCTGTTTACTTCTACTTCAGGCCCATTCAGTCAAAAACGGATGGAGTTCTTTAGGTTTACCTCAATTTCAGTCTAACTTTGTATAATGATAATCCAGCAATTGCCAGAAACTTGATTTTTTTTTTTTTTTGGGCCAAAGAGTATGTTCCTAGATGATAAACTAAATGCATATTTGTGCAAATAGTTACATGCCAAATTGGGTCCAAAAGATGCTGAAGGCCATAAATTAGCTAACGAGTGTAAGTGAGCAAATAACAGAAAATAAAGTAAGTAAAAAGCATGACTATATAACACTGAATACCTTTTAGAAAGAGCACTATGGTTTTTTGATCGTCTTCTAAGAGGTGAATGGTTCATGGATATGTGCCTACTAAATTCAAGCTGCATGTACCAGGCCCACAAATAAAGCATTAGCTAGGACAAGTCTCTGAAAAAAAACTCAGAAATGTAGAAACTTTAATCCACATCTGGCAATCAAAGAGTGGCAACAATTCATTGGACCTAAATATTTATCTCACCATGGTTTTCTAAAAGCTCTCTCGCACTAACAGAAATCTTAAAACTTTCCTTGCAATCCAGAAAATGAAAGATGTGAAAGATTCAAGTAAGGAAGTAATATGGCTGAATCTGAAGGTTCTAAATGAGAAGACAAAGGATGAGGTCAATTGTGTGAACAAACATAACACTAATCTAATCTAAAATGAATGCAAGAGGAGTAAAATGGAAAAGAAACTCATGTCAAACAAATGGATCAAGCATAAAAGGAAAAATATTCATGGAATTCAGAACAGATCCTGCTTTTTAGAAACATTTATCAGCCAGTTAGAAAACAAGGTAATAAATCCACAATTTGGAGGTCAAAAGGAACATAATTAGCTGTGGCGTGCCTGTTCAGGTCCATCCACAGAACTATAAATTGGAGAAAACATGATGCAAATGTCAATAATGACACAATGATTAATTCCTTCCCAAACACCCAATTGCCCTGTTGTCTATCTATTTACCTAAAAACAGGACCACCTAGTTTAATTAAGTGACAAAAAGCTTTCCACTACTTGGCGAGTGCAAGTCAACGTGCATGGACCAACTAATTGAAAAATTCTACAAGCTAAATACACAACTCTAACCTGATCGCCGTCCTTGATGCCCAAATTCTGGATGCGTGCCTTGTCGTTAATTAGCTTTTGACCTCCATAAGACAAGCAAAAGTGCCCCCAAACATGGGACCTAATTGGCACATTAAATTGAAGAATATATCACACTTAAACCAACTCAATTGACAGACCCCACAAAATCACATCAACAACATGTGAAAGTTTAATATATGCAACTGTACAAAGAGTGAAAATCAATACCATGCAAAATTCTACATACAATAAGTAGTATTCAATTTGCGAAATTAAATGAATTAACCATAAGTTTGTGTTTTACCATGAAATGTTGCCCTGGACTTCCCCCGGGACTGAGGAGAAAAGTTCCTCTATTGCTTGTTTAAGCTCTGCTACTGTAGCATTCTTTGCAATTCGAACATCTGCCTCCCTCCAAAAAAAAAAAAAAAACCTGATTACTCTTAAAAAACCCCCGAAAAATGACCACAAAACAACAAAACTGGTTTTCTTTGGGTACCGATCGATCTCCCAAATAAGACTCAAAAGTCTAAGTTTCTATAACTTTTTAAAAAAATATAGAAAAATAAAATAAATAAAAAAGAGCGACGACGAGAATAGGCCGTCGGCTGAGTTACCAAATAGAGAACCGTCGAGTTTAAGAACAGAAAGCTTGAAGAGTGACTGTTGAGGAAGCTTGTGATACGGTACTCTCCGCACAAGAGCAGTACCATCGTCGACACCGCCGTTGCTGATATTAAGCGACCGCGGAGCTAAACACCTCCTCTCGAACAAATTCAAAGTCCTGAAATCTCTACTGCCATTATCTTCCTCACGAGCATCGGTTAGCATGGTAGGAACACTTCTTTAAGGCCTAGGGTTAGGATTTGGGTGAAGTCCGAGAAGAACAACGGAGAAAGCTGAAAGGACGTTGGAGGTAGAGGGTGTCAGTTCCTGTTTTCGCTCTTGTTTGTTATTTTCTTCTGGAAAGAGACCGTTGTTTCGGGGACTTATTTTAATATTTGCAGAGGGAAGAGATGAATATAAGAATAATTTTTTTATTTAAAGATAAAGAATTTTTGAGTTTCTAAAATTAAGTAATAAATTTTTAATTTTTTGTTTAAATGAGGAAACGAACTTGCATTTTTTTCTATATATATATTAAGCTTTTTTTTTTTTGTGTTATGACTTCCTTTCTTTTTTTTTAATAAAATAAATGATTAGTAATTAGATTAATATCTACTCTTGACAAGATTCAATCATGAATAAAATGCAATCCACCAATAACTTTAGGAAGCTGCAGTGGCCACAACAGGGAATGCGATGACCTAGGTTAATGTCAATGTAGAAAAGGATAATCAAGGGTGGGAAAAAGAATAAATATGAATAAATATGCTGTTGGTTCTTATTGTATGTTTAATTTATGAGAAATGAGAAAAAAGGAGAGAGAATTT